TGCGTATTTTCATCGGATTTATTCAAAATTTACAGTGAGGCAATCCTAAAGTGGGCTGGAATTCATTTCAAAATGTATTATTGGTAGGCATAGTCTTAACAATATACGATCTTGTTCAAATTAATTGAAAAAAAACTGATTTAGTTTCCTTTCTTTCACGATACGGTTAGTTTTAGACCTCTGGACAGGTTGCAATCGATTTGTATTTTTTCCTCAGATTAGATCATTTGCAGTGGTGTGCAGAAAATGAATCTATTTTCGGGGTGTACGATGAAATTTGTTTCGCCTTGAAAAATATTGCGTCATCTGCGATTGCATCAGATTTTTTCACGCCTAGACACTATTGTCTCGACTGTCGATTAGTTGTCCTACAGCCATTCTCTGCGCTGGACGTTACTCCAAGGAAACTTACGAAAATTATAACACTGCACGAAACATGGCAAACCTTACCAGTGAGCAAATCAAAGTACTACAGGCTGGCCCGGAATCTCTCTGATTTTAATCCAATCGAGAATCTGTGGCCAATCTGCAAAGAACGACTTGGATATACCAAGTAATAACATGTGCATTGGGTCATGTTACATTGGAATAATAATAATAATAATAAAAAAAGTAAATAATATTGGAATTATTCGTTTTGTTACAATTAATTTGCACAAGGGGGTAACATACGGAGGTGACGCTGTTTTGATGGCAGACACAGAAACAAAACTATAGGAAATCCAAATAAGCTAGTAAAGGAAAGCAAGAAGAAAGGACTAGATCACGGCGTTCTATATTAGACGGCCAACTCATAATGTAGAGAAGGGTGAGAACTGGTTTTAAATTAGTGGGACACTTTTAGTTTCAGCTTCAGTTTGAACTAGCTACCCAACCAGTGTTGTTGGCTTAAGAAATTCAAAGAATTTTTTCCTTACATTTGGAATATCATTTACCTTATTTAACTGAAGTAAGTATAAGATTTATTTATTTTATTTTGAATCGGTATATTATTTCTTATGTAGATTGTAAAAACAAATTTGTAGGTCTGTAATTCACTACGCAAAAATGGTTTTTAGGAATCTTCGTCTTCTGGTTTCTTTCAATTTTAAGCTTCTTATCTAACATTTTTCAATTAAAGTTGATTAAATATTTTCCCCTTTAAGTTTGTTTAACATTTTTCACTTAAAGTTTATTTAGGTTCTTAAGAAAGACACCCCCTAAAGTTTTTTTCTATGACGTTCAGATTTTCCGACGTCTTTTTTACACGTTTTTGTTTTGACTGCGACATTTATTTATGTAAAATGAAATTAAAATGCCATTTTTCTTTTATATTTTTATTCATAAAAATTGATAAAATATAATTCTTTTATAAATAATTTGTGTTTTTATTTTAAACATTAATCTACTCTCGATTTCCAGTTGAATCTATTTGGAATTCTAGTAGAATCAATGACATTCACTTACATGCTATTACCCTTGGAAAAGGTATGAATCCTCTTCTTCTCCCCCCAAGTATGGGTAAATAGCAGCACAGACCGAGTTCTATAGCCTTGGAGGGCAAATGGTCTACCGCAGAAAGAAATGGCAACCTACTGTGGAAAAAATCTTCCTCGTCAGTCATGTATCGAAAGTGTATGTACCATGGGTGTATCATGCATGGTAAATAATTGACTGATGTACATTTCGGCATTAAATAACACATAGAGGTGTCGATATGCCGCTAAATAAAATCAGCCAACCAAACAATGTACGTATAGGAATCTCACTTTTAATTGGCCTTGTACCATATTCTATTCAAGTGAGAGCGCGGAGAAAAAGCAAAAGCTGCATTTATTTGACGTGCCACTTTTACGTATTCTTTCCGCATCGAAACACATGGACCGACAAAAAAACCTTTATATATATTTCATTAATTATTTTGCAGTGAACACGCACTCAAATTTTGAGCTCCGTATATTAGATATTTTCTTTTTAGTTTTTTTTTTTTTAATTCCTTCCAGTGCGGAAGAACGTCGTTATCGCAAAAGGTAATTGTGCATTTTTAACCAGAAGACGACATCCTGAATTCCACCCTTTCTTATGACTAATCTCTTGGGACACGTTTCTTTTTTTCATTCTGGTGAGGGTCGGGATTCTGCTGAAATTTGATTACTATATCCCTTGAGTAAACATGCAACGAAACGGAAATCTTAGAAAGAGACAACGACTTTTCAAGACATGCTGGCAAGAACAAACAAATTCTACAGAAACTGGCTGACAAACTGAGAACAATACGAGAGGAAATCAATAAATGTGTAGCTTTTCGTGTATTTTGATCTGAAACTTGCACTGTATGACATTCGATCATTGCTGTTATGTTCCGATAGTCCTCATCGGAACTGTTATATTCCGTGCTAAGGCAATAAATACTTAACACCAGGTGGATAATAGAAGAAAGGTTTATTGTACACAACAAGTACAATATGAAATACGGTACAGTTATACACACAGGCCAATCTAGTTGTGAGTGTCACTAATTGGAAGGACAGACATGCTTGCGTCTTCTCTCACTCTCGTCTCTCGTAGACAGTTGACTTTATAGATACTTATTACCTATTGTATAATCATTCATGGGGGTGCCAGGTTATTCCATTACATCAATTGCTCTTCTGTTATTATTATGATTTATTCTGCTCATAGGATGAATGTCAAAAGTTTAGAGAGTTGGTAATAAAAAGTCTCTAAATAGAAGACGAAAGAGTTAAAAAAAATCCTAATCGCAGAATATAAATATTTAAAAAAAATTGATCGATATAAACAAATATTGAAAGTTAAAATACTAAAAATGCTACTAATTTAAAGTAAATATAATGTCTTGGTGCATAGACCTCTTAGCCGCCATTTTTGTTAAGATTTTTAGTGCAAAAAAACATTAATCCGTTGAATATATTCATAATAAATAATAAAAAAAAATTACCCTCCTCAGATTCCCAAAGCTAAATTAAGGGAATTTGTGGATTTACCTCATCTCATACTAAAACATCAGGATTTTTAATTTTAAAAAATCGCAGAATATAAATATTTTAAAAAAATGATCGATATAAATAAATATTGAAAATTAAAATACTAAAAATGCTGTTAAGTTAAAGTAACTATAATATCTTGGTGCATACACCACTTAGCCGCCATTTTTTGGTTAATCAAGGTTTTAAATAAAAATAATTTACCCTCGTTATATTTCCAAAACTACATTAAGAAAATTTGTGGATTTACATCATCTCATGCTAAAAAATTTCATACTAAATCATGATTTTTAGTTTAAAAAAAACAAACCCAAAACTGATCCGTCTTACATTTTCATACTAAACAAATGATTTTGGTATTTAAGTTTACCAGGCGTTATATTTTTAACCCTTTCCGCGCCAATTATTTTTGGAAAAACGGTTCATTTTCAGACAATTTTTTTTCTTCTGATTTTAATAAAGTAACTAAAAAACTGAGGTACCTTGAAGTACCCGAACGGTGTCTAACACCTCTACCAGACGTATGAGTTGACAAGTGAACTCGTTTCAAATTAAAAGGACATAAAAAGAATCAAGATTCACGTATAAACATGTCTGTAGCTGGTTTTAGAGCGTTATGTCTTGGACGTGTTTATTCGTTTGTGTCTAGAAAAGACACTTTTGTTAAAAACGTATATACTTGTATGTGAATGAATTTTTCACGGCCTATTCACAAATGAATGACATTATTTTAGAAACGTTTTTTTTTTTAGAAAATCTTTGTGAAAACATTTTTTTTTACATCTTTTACTGCCCCCAAAGTATATTGCTAATCGTAAATTTAATCTATTTGAAATTAAAAATAAATTTATAGCTTCAGACAAATGCTTTTTTGTTGGTTTGGGAAGAAACTGAGGCAACTTGAAATATCAGAGCGGTGGCTAACACCTCTACCAGACGTATATGTTGACAACAGGATGCTTTTCAAGCTCAATAGGCCAAAAAGAATCAAGATAGACGTATAAACACGTCTCTAGATAGTTTGGGGGCGTTATGTTTTGGACGGGTTTATTCGTTTGTCTCTGAAAGTATATAGACGTTTATACCGGGAAATGGTTTAAAAAAAGTACTTTTCTCGATTATCTTAAATAATCTTAAAATTTCTTTTATCCGTTTCATTGTTCCTTCTCGGGGAATCTAATCTCTGAAACTCTCATCGAATATCACTTGAATCTGCTCTAATAGATCAACATGAATATCATTAACTGTTTAAAACGGCAGCATTTAAAGTATTTTAACCTTCGGAAATCATTGTGATCGATCAATTTTTTAAGTATTTATTGGGGCAGTTGAGGCGAAATATCTCAATTGTACGAAAATTCAGACGCTTTCCTACTGAGGGTAACCCACGTACCTCGAAGTGACTCCCAAGTCACATTGGCGGCCTGATTATTCAAACTTAAAATAGTAGTCCTTTTGACACTCGGGTCTGATGTGCATCCACTACTCCCGCTCATGAACAGATATGCACAGAGAGTCATCACCTAGGAACATATGTCCTATTTGTTAAGATCAAGTAACTGACAAGCAAATTTGTAATACTAAACGGGATATTTACTGCAACCCATATTAATGCACCAAACCAAATTATATATGTTAACACCTACAATCATTAAGATTAAAAGCCACGAGAGCCATGTATTATGACATTTATTGTTATTGTTGTTATTGTTGCGCTCATTAACTCTTCAAAACGTTTCAGATCTCGAACACCGTTCTAAGTATCATCACAGACCGCAGCTGTACTTCCTGGAGATTTTCAATTTGTTCTCGAATCTCTAATTCATCCAAACGTAATTCTCGCCTTTGTGGTCCGTTTTCATACAATTACGAGTACAACCCTAACCTTCCTGGTTAGATACTGTATTCTCTTATGTTCTTTCGTCTTCAACCTGTGATCCATATTGCCATCTCCGTAAACTAAAACATCCTCTTTTTTTTGTTTGCAACGATTTGACGTGGTCTTCCCACACAGAAATGTCAGCGTATCTTCTTCTTCTTCTTCTTCTTCTTCTTCTTCTTCTTCTTCTTCTTCTTCTTCTCCTCCTCCTCCTTCTTCTTCTTCTTCTTCTTCTTCTTCTTGACAAATTCCAAAGAAGGGTCTCTAATCAATCCTGGCTAATTTCTCACAGTTACTTCCATTTGTCTTTTTTTATAATTATTTTCATAGCGCTTGATCTGAGAAGCTTTTTTCCTTTGGTACCTCGATCACGTGACTTTGAGCGTAGTACTAGATAGGCGATTAGGTCTCATCTTTTTACCGTTGGAATAGCTAGATGCCATATATAAGTTCTATTCTAATAGTTTCTTTTCTCGTCTGTGGAATTCTCTTGCTGCTTTTTTGCTTCCCTGTTAGCTATGATTTTCAATCCCTATCTTCTGTCTTCCCGAGTCCTATTCTTTTAATAACTTTTCTCCTCACTAACGTATTCTCATTTTCTTTTACGATCTGTAGCCAATTGCTTTCCAGTGGCACTCTCGCATTGCATGCGTTGATATGATTAAAAAGAAATATACTGAACCTAATATAATTTATCTATCAAAGAAAAAAAAAATCAAAATTAGAGCAGAATCTGAAGATTGTATTCCCAGAGAGTAAAAGTCTCCCTAGACCTCAAGTGGAACTCACATATATGATCGATCGCAAAAGTTGCTAGAAAAAGGGTCAGTCCGTGCACTGATACAGAAAGTACCGGGAACCTTCTGTTATTTTTATAATAGCCATATTTGTACGGCTACCATATCTGGGATGGAGCTGTCCAGTCCACACTTTGCAGCCTTGATATAGTTCGAAAACGTCTACAAAGCCTTGTGGGCGATGACTTATTTTCCAATCGACAATCACACAGACGAATCGTCTCAAGCCTCTCGATATTCTATCATTATTTGCATGATACATTTTCTGACGAACTATTAGTTCTACCAATTCTGACTTTCATCTCTAAGACCCGTCATGCCACTTAGACTAGGATGAATCATTTATTTTCCCTTCATATTCGATTAGAACAGACTCCCAACTTGGCGCTTCCGCGGTCAGTACAATCTTAACCTCGTCAAATATACCGCCAAACTTTATCCTAAATATAATTTAAAGTTCTTACCTGTTCTTCTTACATTCATTCAGTAATTCTGTCTTGAGAGGCTCTTAAGCCTTGTATTAGGTGAACAATTACAAAAAAAAACGAAGAAAGGAAAAGAAAAAACTGCTAAATGTTTCTCGAGCCGAACGTGGTTGATATGAGGAATATATTACATATATATATATATAGTTACAGAGAGTGAGAGCAAGAGTAAAGAGGGGTGTTTGAGGAAAGAATAAAGAGAAGGACGGGGAACAAATTCAAGACATCAGAAGATGTCGATTGACATTACATTTGAAGATTATAGCTATCAGGGAAGAAAGTAAGAGGAAGGGAGTTCCACTATCGGGAGGTGCGAGATAAGAAGCAGTTAGAGTAGAAAAAACGGTTACAATTAACCGTTTCGACAGTGAAATGGTGGGACCGAGATGCCAACCTAGGAGCAGACTTAAATTCATGCAGTTGGGGTACCAGTAAACGTAGATCGTCAGAGTATTTGCCATGAAAATATTTGTAGAAAAGACAGGGAGAAGCCACAGTACGTCTGTGAGAAAGTAACTGTAGACGAGATGCTAGATCAGGACCTATCACATTGCACATCCGTCATTGTATTTTGTCGAGGACATCGAGATGAACAGCTGGGGGCAACAGACCATATATGGCAGCAGTATTCAATGCAAGGACGAATGGTACATTTGTCGATTTGAAGGAAACCTTCTGGCACGACACAGAGAACCAACTTTCCTTGCGATAGATATATTTCTTTCTTCTTTCTTTCGTTTATAATATTGTCTTGGATTTCCTGTAGTTTTCTTTCCGTGTCTGCCATCAATATGGTGTCATTTGCGTATCTTACGTTCTCAAAATGCGTCAGTAAAACCGCAATTCGGTCGCTTCAAGCCATTCCCTCATTAGTGACGAAATCATAGCTATCAGTGAAGCAAGTAAGAGGAAACGAGTTCCACTGTCGGGAAGTGTGAGAGAAGAAGCTGTTGGAATATTTACATTTGGCGGTTACATTTAACTGTTTCGACAGTGAAAAGGGTGGGACCGAAATGCCAACTTAGTAGCACCCTTAAATTCATGCAGTTGGAACACCAGTGAAAGTAGCTCGTCAGAGCAGTTGCCATGAAAATATTTATAGAAAAGACAGAGGGAAGCCACAGCACGTCTGTAAGAAAGTGCCTAAAGACGAGATGCCAGATTAGGACCTATCACATAGCAAATTGGTTGGACCGATAACTTTTCAGCAGCCTTCATACATATTAAAAAGTAAACAGATTTAATAACTTTGTACGATCAAGATAAAAAAAAAACAATCAAAACTGCTATTTATATTAATTTGATACAGATCAAGTTTATTACATAATTAGCTGCATTAAACATATCGTTCTTAATTCATAATTCATCATTACGGTAATTAATTAATTGAAACAATTAAATCATACACACATATATGCACTACACACGCACACATACACACATATATATGTGGTCTTTGACAAAGTTGACTATGGTGGTAAGATGCCTGAGGCCTGGGCATGTGTAGAATTTATGGGAAAGTCATTTGTCCAAACGATTACACACCCACATTTTTCTCTGTTAAACATCTTGGTATTCCACAGGCGAGAAACATTGTAGTGAAAACCGGTGATTAAAAAGAGCATGGGAAGAAAAAAAACACGCATTTCAAGTCAATCGTCGAAGATTTGAACTCTGACGGTGATACACCGTTTTAATGAGAAACCAAACCTGTGCTTTCAATATACAACAATACACATGCATCGGTCTCTCTCACTCTCACTGTATATATATATATATATATATATATATATATATATATATATATATATATATATATATATATGAATAATTACAGGCATTATGTCTGCTAATTTTTAAAAAATCCGTTCATACTCACGAATAACCTTCCGTGTATTGATATTAAACAATGAGAGAAATGTACTATCACTGTTTACATTTTTTTATTTTCATTTCCCAAATACTTTCGATAATTTTCCAAGATCATCTTCAGGGGTACAAGTCGTACCTAATGTCTGTAATTTATTCAATCAACATGTCGAAATGAGAATTTTTTGCCTAAACTCTCTCTCTCTCTCTCTCTCACACACACACACACACACACACACACACACACACACACACACACACACATATATATATATATATATATATATATATATATATATATATATATATATACATGTAAGCAAATATATGGATATAGATCCGACATTATGAAGAAAAATATACGGAAAAAACAAACAAAAATCCTAATATGCAATTATGCTGTTTTAATGTTAATATAATGTCAACGTCGGACGTTTTTTCGGTAAAGTAGACCATCTTAATTGTATTTATGAATATGTCCTGAAGATATTTAATTCAGACATGAAACGTCCGACGTTGACATTATATTAACAATAAAAACAGTATAATTGCATATTAGGATTTTTGCTGGTTTTTTCCGTATATTTTTTTTTTCACATATATATATAATGCACCATCAAGCAGAAAGCATTATTCGACTACGTGAAACAGGAAAGCGAAACAAGACAGTTAATAGTGTTCCTGCAGCACTTGCATATACTACTTTCTTCTGTACTGTTTGTGGACTTTTTTGCAATTCTCGAGCCAGCGTCAAAAGTTATGCCCGCCATAGGCATGCAGATAATTAGTTGGTGGTCGTCGGAACCTCATGACTCGACGGGAGAGTCCATCATATATATATATATATATATATATATATATATATATATATATATATGTTTCATTAAAAAGAATGTCTGTCAGTACATTATTTTTTGTAGGTGCTGTGTATTGTGAAGAACATTATGGATAAGGTCCGGCATATCACGTATCATATTTCCTTTGTATTCTATTAGTGAGAAGAAAATTCTGTTTGGATAGCTTCTTCCCCAAAACAGCTACTTTGCGGAACAGACTCTCAAGAAGATGCTTCCCCGATCAGTGAAGTCCTAACATCATTTTCGTGCTGTTTTGTTCAAGTACTTTCGACCGTCTCAGACATTTTTAAGAACCATTGTGGTGTCTGTGTCGTAGACGAAGGCTTGTATGCGTCCTGTTATTCTTTGGAAAGCTGAAAGTTTTAAATAGTATAAGGCGAGGTCAGGAGTCAGGGAATTGGAACGAAGTCGCACCGAAAAGAATGCGATAATTTTAATGCTATATATATATATATATATATATATATATATATATATATATGGGGGTGGAGTGCGCATTAAATATTCTCTCAGACAGTTGAAAGTACTTGAAGAAAACGACAACAGCCATCATCGGATGATTAAATAAAAAACGAGACGACCTTGTGAATGATTCTCGGTCGGCATCTTTAGAGACATTTCTGGTTGTTGCTCTCTCACCCTCTCTCTCTCTATCTATCTAACACTGTCTGTCTCTCTCTGTCCGTGTCTCTGTCTCTGTCTGTCTGTCTGTCTGTCTGTCTGTCTCTGCCTATGTAAGAAAAGTCTAAAATGCCAATCAATATCGCAACCCTGGTTTCGACCGTAAGTTATCCTCAGGCAAGGGGAAGGATATATATATATATATATATATATATATATATATATATGAAGAAAAATATACGGAAAAAAAACAAACAAAAATCCTAATATGCAATTATGCTGTTTTAATGTTAATATGATGTCAACGTCGGACGTTTCGGTCTAGTAGACCATCTTCAGGACATATTCATAAAACATAATTAACATTAGAACATATTTAATTCAACTTGAAAAGACGATGGACATAAGAGTAAGACTAATCAAAACAGACAACTGAAATTTTTCAAGATCAGCGTTCTGTTTCAATACGATGTTGTCTATATCCATATATTTGCTTACATATATATATATATATATATATATATATATATATATATATATATATATATATATTGTCATCTACAGACAGACTGATTCGCTCTATCATGTTATTAGCAATAGTAGTCGTTGTTTAAAATTCGCCCTTTCCCCAAGAGTGCTCGACCGGAATTACATTTTCCGTGGGCCTCTATAATATTATCAACAGACAGACTGTTTCGCTGCATCACAACTCATCACTATGGCTAGACATCTGATCGCCTCAAGCTGCTGACTTTTTATTTTTTTTATTTTATATCAGTCTAAATGGGTTATTTAATGCCGACAAGATTTTTTTTTATTGCTGGTAATATTTTTTTTTCAAAAATGTATTGCTGGTAATATTTTTTTCCTCAAAAATTCCTTGTTGGTAATAATTTTTTTCTCAAAACTCATCGTTAATTACACCAGCCACACATTCAAGCTTATAACACTTGCTATTCCCAAACAGTCCCCCATCTAGATACCGGCCAGGCTTGATGTATCTTAACTTCACTGATAGTACGAGAACGCGTGTTTCAACGCGATATGGCCACAAACCCTTAGAATGTGCAGTTTGAACGCTGATTATACAGTTCAGGAAGAAAAGATCGTTTCTTATTTCTCGTCGTTTAATCTGTTCCATGCTCGACAAAGATAGGTTTAATAGATATTCCCAGGCGTACAGTTTGTTATACGATTTTTTGCTAAAAGGTAATGCTTTGGAAGAATTAAAATGACATAGGCCATTTTACAGGCATTTCCGGTGTAGGAAAAATATTTGCCGCTTCCATTAAAACTACATCAGGTAAAATGAGCGGGAAATTTTTCGGCTTCCGTTCACTAGCGAGAAAATATAAAATTTCTCTTCCCACTTTTCCGTATGTTGCCTTAATATGGAATTTCAAAAAAAAAAAAATATATATATAACATTCCGTCTTTTTTTGGTTGCATATCATTTTTAGAGATTTTATTCTTTGTAAGAATTTTAATATTTTACATTCTTTGTAGTCACCCGTTTAATTCATTATTTTCGCTTTTACATTTCTTTTCTATTCATTCTTTCTTTGTGCTTCTTTATTTCTTTTTTTATTCTTCTTTTTACTTTCTTTCTTTCATTCTTTCTTTCTTTCTTGTTATTTCTTTTACTATGTTTCTATTTTCGTTCTTTCTTTATGTTGTTTATTCTTTCTTTCTTTCTACTTTGTTTCTGTCTTTCTCTTTTTCTTTCTTTTACGCTTTCTTTCATTCTTTCTTCTTATTTCTTTTAATATGTTTCTATTTTCGTCCTTTCTTTATGGTATCTATTTCTTTCTTTCTTTCTTTCTTTCTTTCTTTCTTGTTATTTCGTTTATTGTGTTTCTTCTTTCTTTATGATATCTATTTCTTTCTTTCTGTATTTCTTACTCGTTTTTCTTTCTTTCTTATTCGTTTTTCTTTCTTTCTCTCTTTCTTTCTTTCTTACTCATTTTTCTTTCTTTTTTCTTTCTTGTTATTTCTTTTAATATATTTCTTCTTTCTTTCCTTCTTTCTTTCTTTATCGTATCTATTTCTTTCTTTCTTTCTTTCTTATTCGTTTTTTTCTTTCTTTCTTTCTTGTTATCTAGTTTAATATGTTTCTTTTTTCGTCCCTTCTTTATAGTGTTTCGTTCTTTTCTCTCCGAATTTTTCTTTTGTTCTCTCTGTCTTTCTTCTCTCGTTCTTCATGTTTTTCTTTCAACATCTCTATATGGCTTCTTGTTCTTTTTTCTTTCTATTTCTTTGGGATTCTTTCTTTCTTTCTTTCTTTCTTTCTTTCTTCTCCCGTGCGTATTTTTTCTTCTTTCATCCTTTCGTTATAGTTTCTATTTATTTGTTTATTTTTCTCTCGTTCTTCATCTTTATACCTGTCGTCCTTTCTTTGTCTTTTCCCTTTTTTCTTTTTATTCGTTTTCCTTTCTTTCTTTCTTTCTTTCTTTCTTTCTTTCTTTCTTTCTTTCTTCTCTCACTAGTGTCTCTTTTTCTAACCATGTTTCCCGCAAGCCCATGAAAGTACCCACCATTTCACAAACACGCTTTCTAACTCCCGCCTATTTTTGCACTCTTCCGATCAAAATACATCATTCTTGCTAATGCCGTTTTGAGAAAATGACATTGGCGTTATGATTTCGAATACATTTTGTTTATTTTCCCCGGGATGTCATCAGTTTTATCATTCCGATCCAAAATGGAATCAAGTCACTTTTGCGACATTCCCAGCGATCGGCTGAGTTGCAGATAGTGAGTATTTTGAAAGAAAACAGGTTTTTACTTTTTGCCGCAAATCATTGTTCTGCTAGCCAGTTAGAGAACCTCTCAGAAATTGTCTTCGGCAAAAATATGAACAAAATGAATCAGCAACCACATTGAACGTTTTATGAATAAATGTCTTTCTTTTTTAGAAATTCTGTATGTCCACACTTCTCGCCCTCTCTCATGTTCATATATATATATATATATATATATATATATATATATATATATATATGTGTGTGTGTGTGTGTGTGTGTGTGTGTGTGTGTGTGTGTAGCAATGATACAATATGGTTATCCGTATGGAATTTCCAGGAAGGTATAAATCCAGCGAGAGCTAATAATGTCAAAAGACAGAGCAAAATTATTATTAATTAAAGAATATCAAACACTTAAAATCCTATAGTTAATTATTTTTATTTCATGAGAATTCTAAAAACAGGAGCTCTCAATCTTCAAGACCTACAAACAAATCGCAAATCAAATGCAAAAAATGATTCCGGGTTAAAATCAAGAGATATTGCTATCTTATTTAGAGAGTGGGTAAAAACAGAGAGTGTTGAACTATTCTGATATGCTGACCTCAGATTTAACCTTAGTATGCCGTTTGAGAAAGGTGAAAGGTGTAGTTAGAAAGTGTAGTTAGTTCAGTGTGAATTGGAAACAAACCCGGTTTGATTCTGTCAACTGCCAAAATTCCAATGTTGGTATATTTCTTTCAGATTATTTGTAAATAATGTTAAAAAAAAACATTTTTAAATGTTTCGAAATTAACTAAAAAATTTCATAAGCTTTTTAAATAATTAACCAAGAAATTTAAATTAAAATGCCTAAGAGATTTGAAGTAATGATTATTAATTAAATTCAGAGAAAACATATTTATAAAGGTTATATACATAGAGTCCTGAACTTTTATATCCTTGATGTATTTATTAAGATTTAGAAGGATATAAATATACTTTAACCTAAAGTAAAGTTAGATCAAGGTTAATCCCCTAGTGTATATTTATTAAGTTTATGAGCTTAGTAAAAGTCGTATCCAAATTAATTTTTAAAAAACCCGTTTTAAAGGGGACCCGTTATTCGTTTGTGATTTGCTTGTAGATCTTGAAGATTGAGAGCTGCTTTTTACAGCTCTCATGAAATAAAAATTATTACCTGTGGGATTTTGTGTTTGATATTCTTTGATTAATTATATATATATATATATATATATATATATATATATATATATATTACGATAGAAATATAATTTTAGTGTATGTTATAATTATGGTTAAAGTACTCAATATCAGGGATAGAGCTTATGTAAATATAAAAGACGATATTCATACAATTCAGTTTGGTCCTGTCAACGGCCAAACTTCAATGCTGAAATATTATTTGTAAATAATATTATAAAGGAACATTTTTAAAAATTAGCAAAAAATTTTCACAATCTTGTTATATAATGAACCAAAAAAATTAAATTGAAATACCTAAGGGATTTAAATTAAATGATTATTAATTATATTCAGAGAAATGTTTTTATAAAGGTTATATACCTAGAGTTCTGAACTTTTATATCCTAGATGTATTTATGAATATTTAGCAGGTTTGGAATGTACTTTAAACTAAGGAAAAGTTAAATCGGGGTTAATCTCCTGTATTTCATTCAACAAATACTGTAAATCATATTTAAAAAGTGTCTGATTCAGAACATTTAAAAAAATATTCGAAATTAGCGAAAACAAGTTTTAAAAATTAACTTTTAATTAGTATAAGCTTTTTGTATACTTAAGCAAGAAATTTAAGTTACCTGCTTAACGACCTTGTATAAATGGATAGAACACAGACTGACTGGGACACAGATCTAAGATGGATAGGAATTAGTGGAGATCTGTGATCCCAAACAGAGTATGAATGAATGAACAGAGTACAAAGAAGAAGCACAGTTCCCATGGGAAAATAGTCTAGTAGAGTCATTGGTTGGATAATGAATTTGGTGAGATAGTCATTGTAATTTTAATCCATGGGTCAAATAGTGCAGACTTAGACTGAAAAGTACTGAATAAAAATGAAACGATGTATCGCGAGGCATGATCAGCGTGAACGTCAAAAATCTCCCCCCGAAAATTAAATACAGGGTTCAGTTCGAAACATCCGGATCAGCAAACTCCTGATCATGGCCTAAGTAATGCAAGTAATCATTCATGTCTGAAACTATTTTTCATTTGCCTTCGTTTCTCGCTTTCTCTTCGGGGCATACGGACGTTACACTTTAAATCACGTTTTTCGTACGATTACCGAAGTTAAACAACGCGGAGCCTGGTCAATACCTACACTCTTGAGCAAATTAATTGAAATAAAACCAATGATTAGTTATTATTTACTGTTTTTTCGTATTTTTCCAATGAGACATGCACATGCTAGTACTTCGTATGTCCATTCGACAATGTCGTTCCTTGCAGATTGACCACAGATTCTCGATTGGATTTAAATTAGAGTTTCCGCGCCAGTCTTTAGTACTTTGATTTGTTCACTGTTAAGGCTTGCCAGTGTGTTCGTGCAGCGATACAATTTTCGTATGCTTCCTTGGAGTAACGTCCATTGCAGACAATGGCCGTGGGACAACTAATCGGCAATCGAGACAATAGTGTCTGACGTGATGAAAATCTAATGTAATCACGGTTGACACAATATTTTTCAAGGCGAGGAAAAGATAGAAATCGATTACAGCCCGACACTCTAGTGGGTCTGAAACTGATTGCATGGTGACAGAAAGGAAACTAAAGCGGTTGTTTCAATTAATTTGCACAAGAATGTAATGGATGATTGTTTGCTAATACCAGTTGCTATTAGGTTGGTGCAAAAATAATGACGTAATAATGTCGTTTTTGGACGTATTTTTAACGTCAAAAAACGACATCATTACGTCATTATTTTTGCACCAACCTAATATAAACTTGAATGTGTAGTTGGTATAGTTGATAAATGCTTGTAATAAGCAATTGGTGAGAGGAACACGAATTCTAGTCAAGTTCGCTATATTCCCTTCCTCCCGCCATCTATGGGTTAATTAGTAAGAATTCTATCAGTAAATCATTATAATATCCAAAAAAAAAAAAATCTTACAACCTAAACATGTTTTCTGATTTTAAAATAACCTACAAATGGCTGATAAGCTGTAAAAAAAAAGAAAAAGAAAAGAAAAAGAAATCCACCAATCAATGAATCTCTTTCTCTCCTTTGTTGTCCATCATTTATATCTGCTGCATTTCTTCTTGGTTATTTTTCTATTTGTTGATCTACGTCGATCCGTATGTTCAGTTCCTTCGCCCTCATTGTTTAGACATGTTTTCGCATATATCTGTAGCGAGTTCTGAAAAACAATTCTCTCTACTTAAATGCCATTGTAATTGACTCTTTCAACTGAAATCTGAACAAAAACTGCGATCCATAAAACAAACAAGAAATTATGATTAAAAAAAAACTAAAAGTTATTATTGTGACCTCACTGAACCCAATGATCTCTGACTTCAACATTTAAATTTTGTTTTGTTTTTTTAACAACTTTTATAAAAAATTATTTACTTTATTTATGGTTAATGTCCGAAAAGGAGTTCAATTTAAAACCGAAAGTATTTTAATGTTTATTTCTTTTCATATTTTTAAAAAAAAATTTTAACATCTCTTAACTTCCCGAGATGAACATTAATTCGTTCCAAATTGGTGGCCATTAATAGGATATCTATTTCCGGTTTTCGTGTAGAATATAATGTCAAAAGTCAATCTGTGTAAGATGAAGAGTTGATGAGGTTGAAAACAACAAGCTGTAAACTGGAAATTGAGGGTCAGAATAAGAATAAATAACAGTATACAAATAAGCAGATTTTTAAGCCAATCAAAATGCGCAGTAGAGTAGTAAACAGAAAAAAATGTACACACACGCACACACGCACACACACACACAAACACACACACACGCATATATATATATATATATATATATATATATATATATTGTGCATTTGGGCAGCAAATTCTCTTCTAGGCTTGTCTGATTGAATAAATTACAGACATTATGTGTGCTAATTTTTAACAAGATCCGTTCATACTCACGAACAAGTTTCCGTGTATTGATTAAAGGATGAGAGAAATGTGCTATAAATGTTTAAATTTCTTTTATTTTAAATTCCCAAGTACTTTCGACCTTCTTCGAAGATCATCTTCAGGGGTGCAAGTAGTACAAAACTATATGTCGTTCATTAGTATAACTATTTATACAAAGCTGCGCGTTGTTATCCATTACCGTAATTTTTTAATCATGCATTTAAATGCAAATCGGTTGACAATGTGCTGAGATTTCATTAGAACATGAAAAAATTATCCATTATGGATTTTTTTCTGTTGTATAATGTCATTGTCATGCGCGCATTAAAGCATGATTTTTCAGTCTTTAATTCACGCAGGACTGTTTTTACTGTTCCTTTATAGGCATTTCAGAACATTACTGCAGTATTCATAGTTGATTCTGTTCAGTGCCGGCTTTAATTTTTTAATATGAATTACTTCTAGGATCTGTAGTTTGAATGTTTTGTCTTCTTGCTGTAGAATAGTTGTGTTGTCGTTTGGTAATTTTTTATATTGTGAATACGGACAGGAATCTTGTTGTAGATGTCTCGTAATGGACGAATAGTCAGACGTGTAATGTAAGCCTTCTTGTTAATGTAGTTGTGGTATACCCAAAATATATATTTTTTTTTTTTTTGTCAGAGATACATTCTCCCAAGGTATATAATGTTGGTTTTACGTAATACATCAGTTGGTGGGGAGGAGTCATTGCGAATAATTAAATTCGTTGTAATGTATTTTTTTATAATATATGATTATTTTTATTTTTTTATTAGAATCCATGAAAGATATGTTAGTATGATTGAGATTCTTTGGCCTCTATATCTCTGAGATGAGGTGTTATGATTACTTGCATTATTTAGATTATTCGCACCGTTATCCTCATCTTCATTGCCATATTCACAACGTTTCGGGCTCTATATATCTGAGATGAGGTATTATGATTACTTGCATTATTTACATTATTCGCACTGTTATCCTCATCTTCATTGTCATATTCACAACGTTTCGGGCTCTATATATCTGAGATGAGGTATTATGATTACTTGCATTATTTACATTATTCGCACTGTTATCCTCATCTTCATTGTCATATTCACAACGTTTCGGCCTCTATATCTTTGAGATGAGGTATTATGATTACTTGCACTATTTATATTATTCGCACTGTTATCCTCATCTTCATTGCCACATTCACAATCTACTCCGGTGGATGAAATAAAGGTTTCTGTTCGAAATTCTAATCATCTGAAGAAAGTCAGAGTGTACAACGACAAAAACGTTCTGAATATGTCAATGAAGATGAGGATAATAGTCCGAATAATGTAAACAATGCAAGTAATCATAATACCTCATCTCAAAGATATAGAGGCCGAAACGTTCTGAATATGTCAATGAAGATGAGGATAACAGTTCGAATAATGTAAATAATGCAAATAATCATAATACCTCATCTCAAAGATATAGAGGCCGAAACGTTGTGAATATGGCAATGAAGATGAGGATAACAGCCCGAATAATATAAATAATGCAAGTAATCATAATACCTCATCTCAGAGATATAGAGACCAAAACGTTGTGAATATCGCAATAAAGATGAGATTAACAATCCGAATAATGTAAATAATGCAAGTAGTTCTTTTTCTTCTTGACACAATATAACGACTGGATTCGATGAAGACAATGGCTGAGTTTTTTTGTGGAGGCCACACTTCTATAAGTCCCTTATATATCTCTGTGATAACTGTAAAATCTATAGACCCATTGTCAGCCATGACTATGCGCCTATATGCTTATCTGTTTACGTTATGTGAGTTTAACCGAATAGAAAATCTCTTTGTGTAAATAAGAACCTATTCTCAAATTTTTCACATTCTTACTTTTATGCGCGCATGTTTCTTTAGGTCGAAGAGTGTGCGCCAATCCCGCCGGCCATTTTGTTTTATCCTACTTTGTTTTTTTAACTTCTTTCTTTCAGCTTTTGTATACACGGAAATTTATTGAAGCAAGTAGCCAGATTGCGTCCAAATTATTAAAGCGAATGTGTGCTAGGATTTTTAAATAATAAAATCCCGAGGGTTACTTTATATCAACTTCTTTTAAACGAGAAATCAATGTCCACACGCTGCTGGACTGTCCGGGTATTCTTTCTTTCTTTCCTTACTTCTTGCATTTTTAATTTCTTTCTTCATATATTTTATTCATTCGTTTAATTTTCTTTCTTGTCTTATTTTTCTTTCTTTCTTTCTTTCTTTCTTTCTTTCTTTCTATTACTTTTCACCTGCATATCACCTTTCTTTCTTCCTAATATTATTTTATCTCTGTCTATTATTTCTTATACTATTTCCACGTTCTTCTTTTTTTCTTCCTTTTCAAGCTTCCTTCTTTCTCTACATCTTCAACATTACTTTTATCCTTATACTTCTTCGGAATTCTTCCATTTTTATTCTTCTTATTCCAGCCTTTTGCTTCCTTTTCCAATCTGTTCTTTTTTATTCTTCATATTCCACATCATTTCTTACTTTTGGTCTTTTATTCTTTTCCATTTATTCATTTCACTTTCTCTCCATTTTCCCGGCCCTTTTCCCCGTCTGCCTTCTTTCGCCACTTTTCCATTTTATTTTCTTCTCTGTCTTTCATTCTCCTTCATTTTCTCTTCCTTCGACTTTTTTTTCCTTTTCCAACTTCGTTTTCGTCTGCCTTTTCGTTAATTCTTCCTTTCATTTCTCACTTCATTTTCTCTCCATTTTCCCGCCCTCTTCCATATCTGTCTTCTTTCGCCACTTTTCCATTTTATTTTCTTCTCCATCTTTCATTTTCCTTCCTTTTCGCTTCCTCCGACCTTTTCCTTTTCTAACTTTCCTTTTCTTCGTTCTCGTCCGCCTTGTTAATTCTTCCTTTTTATTTGTCGTCTCGCTTTCTTTTGATCTCTTTTACTTTGGCTTCTTTCTTTTCTTTTTCCTTCCTCTCTATTCTTCCGACTCACTTCTCTCTCTGTGTCCTTTTATTTTATTTTCTGCCCCATTTCTTACTTTTGTTCTTTTATCATTCTTTCTTTTCACATTATTTTTTTTTAATTTTCATTTTATTCGTAGCCATTAACGGTTTAAAAGGTTTTTAATAACAGTTTTAAATTTATAATTAATAACCGATTTTTATTTTTATTTTTATTTTTTTCTAATTACTATCGGAGTTTACAGTGGGTATTAATGAACCGTGTGACCTTTTCTGTATGTCTTTGTTTCTCTCTTCCTCAAATCTGTTACAAGAAAGCAGATACAGCAGATTTAACAAATGACCCCTGCTTTGTTTCGATGGTCAAACCTGAAAGGAAGCCTCAAGTGACATGTCTACTCCACAAGAATTCTTCTGCTTAAACATCAGTGTAAAAGTAACTTGTAAAGTTAAGCAGCGCTAACACATACTACACTTTGATCCTAGATAGAGCTTAGAGATACGCTGATCTTAGTCCATTATTTTTATGGGTATTATTCTAGCAATAATAATAACTGTTGCTAACGTAGGACAAAATAGAGACAGCTGAACGGTATTAGCGGTCGACAACATCCTGAAAATTGATGGGGTTATTTTTAAAAGAACACGCTATGAGAGAATTCTGTTCCAATCTGTTGCATTCCATTCGCATAAATTCAATTAAGAAAGGCATGGATTTATCTCCTATCCTTTCAGATATGGCTTAAACAACATAGACTAAACTCTTTATTTTTGCTTGCAAGTTATTTAAATTAAAGAACAATACGAATTATAAGCTGTGGAGAAGGCAACAGGAAGCAACTTCACTGTTTTTCCCAAAACAATTACACATATTAAAAGAAAAAGACGTTGTGAAGAGTCATGATCACCTACGTTCTGAAGGACGATATTGAAAAGATTTTATTGGCCAATGATAGATTATTTCGTCACAAATGAGAGAAAGATTTAAATCGATCGGAATTTTGAGAATATCCTGGGCGAAACATGTAACGAAAGCGGAAGTTTTCAAGAGAATAGGAATTATGAAGGAACTTTTACCTGCAATCGGAAAGACAGACGAAATATTGAAGGAGGAAGGAATGAGTTAGTGATAATGGTAAATTAAACGAAATGAAATTGGCGACCCGAGTTCATATTCCAGCTGAGACTTGGGAAAGGCATGAATCTATTTATATCCCTTAACAACAAAAAAATAATAATAGGTCAGATTAAGTTTTTTAACCTTGGTTAGGAACCAGTGTTGGAAAACAAATCTGCATTCAAACCCGTAGAGAAGAAAACGAGAACAGACTCCACACTCAAAACGATCCTGGGAAGGCAACGTTTAAAGTTATGAAAAAAAAATAAAGAAAGCTGTGGAGAGTCATAATCGCCTACATCATGAAGTAACAGAGAAGTTTAAGAGGATAGTAATCCGAAATGATGGGTTAGAAGAAGAAAGATAAAAAAAGGATGAGGATATATCTAAAACTGAGAGTAGGTATATTAAGAAGAATAATAAAAAATCAAATGAAGAAGAAGAAGAGAAGGAGGGGGAAGAAGAACAAAAGAAGGATGAGGAAGAAGAAGAAGAGGAGGAAGGAAATGTGGAAGAGGAGGAAGAAGAGGAGGAGGAGGAGAAAGAAAATGAGGAGGACGAAGAAGAAGCGGAGGAGGAGGAGGAGGAGGAGGAGGAAGGAAATGAGGAACCAAATAGGAGAAAAAACAGAAAAGCAAATTTATCTCAAAATATTTCCGTTTCAGTTGTGTTCGTTGCTTTTAATTTCTTTTCCATCACGACTTGTTTCTATTTTTAGTATTAACACTTTATTCAATCTTTGCTCATTTATTTGCACTTCGTTTTCCAATCTTCTATTTGGGTTTGTCTTTTCCCGCAGTTGATCTTGTTGAAAAGAGTGTCTTACGATTCAGGAGTACTGACCGGATATAAAGCAAACTTGGACCTAAATTGTATTGCTATGATGCATCAATATTGACTTTGTTTAAAAAAAGACAATCTACATATGGATAATGGCTCGGAATGGTTAATCGGAAAACCGAGTTCCAATTCCAGTTGGGTTCGTTATATTCGCTTTAGAAATGTATGAATCCACCTTTTCTCCCCCAGCTATTGGTTAATTAGTAAATCATTATTAACTAAAAAAATTATTACAATTTAAAAAATATGTTCTGGCTTTAAATAACCCACAATAAGTTCATAAACCACAGAAAACGAATCAATCAAAATGTTTCTGCTTTAAATATCATATAAAAGATTGGTAAGCTGTAAAAAGCAAAGAGAATCAATTAATCAATCAATATCTCAAACCCTTACAGCCAAATCCCGACACGCCACATATACAGATACGAATCCTCCTCATTCTCTTCATATTCCATCTGTAAGAATGAAATTATCAAGAACAACTATTTTGAGAAACAGACTCCCCAGTGGTTCCTTCCTCGATCATTAAGTTATCAACCTCTTAGTCTCTTGTTAACCGTGATTTGTTTTTAAGATCATCATTCTTTAACTCTTTGCAATGAATTGTTCTTTGGACTTATACTGGGTGGACTGCGAAAAGAGAAAATTAAAAGAGAAAAGCGTAGATCCGTATAATCATCTTTTACCTATGTAAATTTTCTGATGGCGAAACTATTTTTTCGATGCAAAGAAATACGTAGTATTCTAATTTTTGTGGTGCCCGATCTCTAAAGAGTATACGCTGGACTCTTCCGCCTACTATAAGATTAGTAGGAGAGAAGGCCTTGGTTGAACAGTTGCATAGATTGTTCAACTGTCGAACTCTCTGTCTTTGGCAGAGAGAAACCCGGACGAAATTTTGCCCTGCAGCAAAGTTTCGCCCGGGGAGGTAGACAGGCCCGGACCCGCTTATGTGGGTTCTACGGGAATAATTTTGGCCGAACCTACGGAACTCGGAGATCTCACGGTAAACTCGGCCTTGTGCCACATACATCTCTCGTGGTGGGAGGGAATCTGTTAAATATTAACAGTCGCATAGATTGTTCGTTACTGTCGAACTCTCTGCCTTGAGCAGAGAGGAACCCGGACGAGGCTTTGCCGAAGGGAAAAGTTTCGTCCGGGTCAGTAGACAGGCTCGGACCCGTTTATGCGGGTTCTATGGGAATATTTTTGGCCGAGCCTACGGGCTCGGAGAACCCACGGTAAACTCGGCCTTGTGCCACATACATCACTCATGGGGGTGGGGCTGTTAAATATTAACAGTCAAATAGATTGAACGCTGGATCAACTGACCAAAATGTTGTGACCAAGTAAATGCTTAAAGAAATAGCAAAACAAGTGTTACAGATATATCATATATTAATTAGTAAGTACAACAAAAGAGTATTACACGACTAGTGAGTGTGTGTCGGTTGACCCAGCGTTCAATCTATTCGACTGTTCCCCCAAGGCCTTATCTCCTACTAATTTTATAGTAGGCGGAAGTGTCCAATATAGACTCTTTTGAGGGAGGACACCACAACATTAATACCTTATTGTTGAGCAATAATAGCCCAGTTCGATATAATTCTGAACCCCTTGTTACAGCGGATAAAGATTGCAATTTTTTGGAACAGACAAATATTTACATATATGAATTAAGATAACTGCTCTCACTTTTTGAATGACTTTTAAAAAGAACACATATTTCGGATTGTCTCCCTTTATAGTAAATACACTCTTTAACATTTGAATTTTTTTCAATTTTTCAAAATGTTGACGTAAGATATTTTTATTTGTAAATTTTGTGTACGTTCTGTAATTATATTTTTTCGTTAAAAGAAAATTTTTCTTGGAATTTCAAGAACCTAACTAAGAATTTGCAACTTGAAAAAATTCGGTAAAAGTGATAAAACTTTCTGCATTATAAGAATGACATGAAGTAATTTAATAATAGCAATAAAAACGGACATATGAAAACAAGAATAAAAATAAGAAAATGATGGATAACAAAAAACAACTACATTACTGCAAAGTGGTAATATCGAATTACAAAACACACTTAACAAAAAAGCTAGTGTAACTGGTTTATCGGTCTTCTCTATCAAGTTTTATTCTTTTATTTATTGACTAGCAGCCATAGCCAGCTGGTCGATCAGAAAAAAGTTTTCAATTAAAATGGAGCAAAAACAGCATCATATTTAGATATAACAGAGTCTATCTTTAATTACTTTAAAGTACTTTCATTAAAAAACATTCTGAATTAATGTAGTTACTAATATAACAGAAGGGACTGGGGTCAAAACAATATGAAAGCGTAAAAATAGGCTTTAGTACGAAAAATACAGATTTGTGAAAAAATTATTACCAGCAATGATTTTTTTAAGAAAAAATTATTACCAGCAATACATTTTTCAAGGAAAAATTATTACCAGCAATACATTTTTAAGGAAAATTTTTTACCAGCAATACATTTTTGAAGAGAAATATTACCAACAGTACATTTTTGAAGGAAAAATTATTACCAGCAATACATTTTTGAAGGAAAAATTATTGCTAGCAATACATTTTTGAAGGAAAATTTTTTAGCAGCAATACATTTTTGCAAAACCATATTACCATCAATAAAAATTTTGTCGGCATTAAATAACCCATTGAGGTGGATAGGCCGTAAAACAAAACAAACCAAATCAAACCGTCATCACTTTGTACGTTATTTTTTATTGGAAAAGATGTATCTATCAAGAATAACATTTAAAGTGATCAAATCTGTCGGATGAATAAATAAAAAATCCATTACTTCTTTCGAGAATTATAGCTTATAAAAATCAAGTCATTTCCTAAATGCGGGTGATTCACGATAACTAAATAAGCTAGATAAAACTATAAACAGTCGGGTCTAACTCGATCTTAATTGGCTTCTCTCTATTTTTAGTTTATTTAATACCATAATTAAGCAATATTTCCGCCACAGCGTGCGTTTCAATCCCACGAAATTCTGGTGTCACGAAAGATTTAATCTTTATTTGCATTTGAACCCGGAAAGAAAATTTATTCGCGGTCGCTTAAGATCATTCATTTTTCAGCACACCCGAGCCAAGAGCAGTGTGTGGCCGATTCAAAGGAAATGGTTATTTTTTCGTTCGTTCTTTCTTCCGATTGTTCTTTTCTTTCTTTTATTTGTTCTTTCCATTTACTTTTTTTCATTTTTTCTTAAAAGTCCTTAATTCTTTCTCTTTTCCTTCATACGTTTATTCTTTCTTTTTCTTCTTCCGGTTACCGCCCTTTTTATTTCTTCAGCCTTCTCTTTGACGTTCTCTCTTTTTCTCACTTCCATCTTTCGATTTTCTTTCTTTTTATTATTGTAGTACATTATCTCCTTCAAAATTTAAAATCGTTCATCCTTTTCTTCTTTCATCCATTTTCTGTTTTTCATTTTGTTTGTTTATTTTTCCCGCCTTCTTTGAACGGCGTTCAGTGCTGTTAGGGGTTTTCGTGATTGGTCGGGTGGAAATTTTCTCATTATGCAATAAACGGGGGGCCTTAATAAAAGGGGTACCACTATGTCATTTAATGGTTCAAAATGTACAAAATTTATAAACAAGTACTCAAAATAACGTCGATAAAGGCGGAAAATTTCCTCAAAACAACAAAATAATAATAATAATAATAATAAGTTCTCACGAGAACAGTCCACACCTTACGAAGGGTATTATCTATGTAAAATATGTCTGTGTTTAATTGGTCAGTGGAAAGTGTCATGGTGCCATTTCTAAACCTAGGCCCCTGAGCGGGACCCGGAAAGAAATGTGTACACACCAGAGATCAAAGGAAATATAAAAAAAAATAATAAGGTAAGGAAACTTAAAGAAATTGGTATGAACACCACCCAGCCAAACCCGGTTACGGAGATAGGTCCTGTTAAAATTTTATGGGACTACACACAGAGACAGAACAATCAAAACTTACCGCCCAGACATTGTTGTTAGAGACCGCAAACAAAAAATGTGCCTCCATATTGATATGGCAGTCCCTGCAGACTGCAATGTATCTTTGAATTTATTCAAAAAGCTATCAAAGTTCAAGGACCTTGAAATCGAAATCTAAAAAATGTGGCACATGGGAATATCAACAATCCCTGTTGTAGCTGGAGCCCTAGGATTGGTCGGAAAAGATTCCAGTAGACTAACTGAAGGGATTCCTGGCAGCCCATGCCTTAAAGAAATACAAAGCATTTTCCTCACAAGTACAGCCTACACCTTACGAAGGCCTTTGTCTATTTGTATTTTTTTTTTTTGTTACTGGAAAGTGTTATGATGCCATATCTGACCTTAGGTCTCTGATCGGGACCCGGTAAAATGAGTACAAATCAGAAATCAAGGGAAATAATTAATAATAATAATAATAATAATAATAAAAACCCACCCGTTTATTAGGAACCTAAGAGAATAATTTTTCATTTCTTTCTTTTCACTCGCTTTAATTTTTCATTCTTTAAGTTTTCATGTTTTTTCTTCGCTTCTTTATTGAACTTTCTTTTTCTTTTTCTTCCTTTAAACTTTTTCTTTTTCGCCTTCACTATTTTTTTCTTTTTCTTCATTATTCTCTCTATCTTTCTCTTAAATGGCTTCTGTACATTCTTCATTTTCTTTGTTTTGTTTTTCTCCTCTTTCTTTTGTTGGTTCTTACATCATAAAATTAATTCATTTTTTTTAATATAGTTTTCTTTTATTATTTACTAATCTTTTTATTCTTGTATTAATATATTTACTTTGTTAAATCTTTTCTCTCTCTTTCTTTCTTTCTTTCATTCTTTCTTTCTTTCTTTTTTTGGTTCTTTCCTTCCTTGCTTTCTTTCTTTCGTCCTTCTTTCCCTCATTCTTTACTTCCTTCCTTTCTTCCATCTTTCCTTCATTTCTTCCTTCCTTCCAACATTCCTCCCTTTCTTTCTTCCTTCCGTCCTTCCTTCATTCCTTCCTTCCATTCTTTTTCCTTCCTCCCTTTCGTCAATCCTTCCTTCCTTCCATTCTTTTTTCCTTCCTCTCTTCCTTCCTTCAATCCTTCCATTCTTCCTCGCTTCATTTCTTCAAACCTCACTTCCTTCCATTCTTCCTTCTTTACTTCAATCCTTCCTTCCTTCCATTCTTTCTTCCATCCTTCGTTGCTTCCGTGCGTCCTTCCAGCCATTCTTCCTTCGTTCCTCCCTTCCTTCCTTTCTTCCATCCTTCAATACTTCCTTCCGTCCGTTCTTCCTACCTTCGTTCCTTTCTAGCTTCCTTCCTTACTTCCTTCCTTCAATCTAGCTTCTTTCATCCATCCTTCCGGTCTTCCTTCTTTCCTTCCTTCTTCCCATTCTTCCTTCCTTCCTTCCTTCAATACATCCTACCTTGCGGCCTTCCTTCCTTCCTTCCTTCCTTCCTTCCATTCATCTTTTCCATTCATCCTTTCTACCTTCCTTCCTCCCGTTCTTCCTTCCTTCCTTCCTTCAATCCGTCCTACCTTCCTTCCTTCCTTCCTTCCTTCCTTCCTTCCATTCATCCTTTCCATTCATCCTTTCTACCTTTCTTCCTCCCATTCTTCCTTCCTTCCTTCCTTCCTTCCTTCCTTCCTTCAATCCGTCCTACCTTCCGGCCTTCCTTCCTTCCATTCATCCTTTCCATTCATCCTTTCTACCTTCCTTCCACCCGTTCTTCCTTCCTTCCTTCCTTCCTTCAATCCGTCCTACCTTCCGGCCTTCCTTCCTTCCATTCATCCTTTCCATTCATCCTTTCTACCTTCCTTCCTCCCGTTCTTCTTTAATCCTTCCTTCCTTCTATTCTTCCTTCCTTCCTTCCTTCAATACTTCCTTCCTTCCATCAATTGTTTCTTCTTTCCTTCCTCCCTTCCGTCCTTCCTTCCTCGCTTCCTATATTCCTTCCTTCCTTCCGTCCACCTTCTTTCCTTCCTTTTTTTCTTCCTTCCTTCCTTCTTCATACAATCGTTCCTCCCATTCTTTCCTCCTTATTTCCTTCCTTAATTCCTTCCTTCCTTCCTTCCTTCCTTCCTTCCTTCCATTCTTTCTTTCTTCCTATCTTCCTTCATTATTTCCGTCCTACCTTCCATCCATTCTTCCTTTTTTCCGTCCTTCCTTCCTTCCTTCCTTCCTTCCTGCCTTCCTTACGGCCTTCTGCCTTCCTTCCATTCTTTCTTTCTTCTTTCCTTCCTCCCATCTTTCCTTCAATCCTTCCTTCTATACTTCTTTCCTCCCTTCAAAATTACTTATCTATCTTCATTTGTTTCTACATCCTTCCTCCCTTCTGTCCGTCCTTTTTTCCTCTTGTCCTTCTTCCATTATATCTTCATTCCCTCCTTCTTTCCTTTCTTCCTTCCTTCCTTCCGTCCTTCTTCCTTCCTTCCAATCTTCCTTCCTTCTTTCCTTCCATTTCTTCATTCCTTCCTACCATCCATTCTTTCATCCTTCCGTTCTTTTTTCAAACCTTCTTTCCATTCTCTCGTCTTTCCTCCCATTCTTTCTTTCTTCCTTCCTTCCGTCCTTCTTTTAATCCTTCCTTCCATCCTTCCTTCCTTCCTTTAATCCATTCCTTCCTCCCTTCCTTCCTCCCTTCTTTCCTTTCTTCCTCCCTTCCGTCCTTCCTTCTTTCCTTCCTTCCTTCCTTCCCTCCTTCCGTCCATCCTTCCTTCCTTCCATTCGTACTTCATTCTTTCTTTCCTTCCTTCCTTCGTTCCTTCCTTCCATATTTTCTTCTTTCTTCTTTCCTTCCTTCCGTACTTCCATCCTTCCATTCTTCCTTCCTTTCTTCCTTCCTTAATTCCTTCCTTCCTTTGTTCTTTCCGTCCGTCCTTCCTTCCTTCCACTCTTCCTTCCTCTCTTCCTTCCTTCAATCCTTCTTTCCTTCCATACTTCCTTCTTTCCTTTCTTTCTTCCTTCATTCCTTTCATTCTTCCTTCCCTCCTTCCTTCTTTCCTTCCTTTTCTTACTTCCTTCCTTCCATTCTTCTTTCCTTCCGTCTTTCTTTCAATCCTTCCTTCCTTCCATCCATTTTTCTTCTTTCCTTCCCTCCTTCCTTCCTTCCTTTTTTCCATTCTTCCTTCCTTCCTTTCACCCTTCCTTTTTTCATTCCTTCCTTCCTTCCTTCCTTCCTTCCTACCATTCTTCCGTCCTTCATTCCGTCCTTCAATCGTTCCTTCCTTCCTTCAATTCTCTTCTTCCTTTTTTCCCTTCCTTTCTTCAGTCCTTCCATTCTCCCTTCCTTTCTTCCTTCCTTCAATCCTTCCTTCCATCCTTTCATTCTTCCTTCCTCCCTCCCTCCCCTTCTTCTTTCCTTTTTTCCGTCCTTTCTTCCATTCTGCCTTCCTCTATTTCTTCCTTCAATCCTTCTTTTCTTTTCATACTTCCTTCCTTCCTTTTTTCTTTCCTTCCTTCCATTTTTCTTCCCTCCCTCCCTTCCTTCCATTCTTCCTACCTTGTTTCCTTCCTTCCTTCAAGCCTTCTCTCCTTGTATTCTTTCTTTCTTTCTTCCTTCATTCCTTCCTTCCGTCCTTCCTTTCTTCCATTATTCCTTCCCTCCGTCCTTCCTTCTTTCCATCCATTCCTCCTTCATTCCTTCCTCCTTTCTTTCCTTTCTTCCGTCATTCCTTCTATTCTTCCTTCCTTCCTCCCTTCTTTCCTTCCTTCCGTCATTCCTTCTATTCTTCCTTCCTTCCATTCTTTCTTCCTTCCTTCCTTCCTTCCTTCCATTCTTCTTTTCTTCCTAGCTTCAATCCTTCCCTCCTTGCTTCCATTCTTTCTTCCTTCCCCCTTCCTTCAATCCTTTGTTCCTTCCTTCGATTCTTTCTTCCTTCCTTCCTTCCATTCTTCCTTCCTTTCTTCCTTCCTTCCATCTTTCCTTTCTTCCATTCTTCTTTCCTTCCTTCCTCATTTCTTCCTTCCTTCCTTCAATCCTTCCTCCCTTTCATTCTTCCTTCCTTCCTTCCTTCCTTCCTCCCTCCCTCCATTCTTTCCTTCCTTTCGTCATTCCTTCTATTCTTCCTTCTTTCTTTCCTTCCTTCAATCCTTCCATTCTTTCCTTCCTTCCTTCCTTCCTTCCATTCTTCCTTGCTTCCTTCCTTCCTTCCTTCCATTCTTCTTTCCTTCCTTTCTTCCTTCTTTTCTCTCTTCCTTTTTTCCTCCTTTCCTTCCTTTCATTCTTCTTTCCTTCCTTCCTACTTTTATCTCTTCCTTTTTTCCTTCCTAACATTCTTCTTTGTTCCTTTCTCCCATTCTTCCTTCCTTCATTTCTTCCTTCAATCCTTCCTTCCTTCATTCTGTCTTCATTCCGTCCTTCCTTTCTTCCTTCATTCCATGCTCCCTTTCTTCCTTCAATCCTTCCTTCAATCCCTCCTTCCATTCTTTTTTCTTTCCTTCCTTCCTTCCTTCCTTCCTTTCTGTCTATGCAATCCACAAATCCCATTTAAGAAAACATTTATAAAATATAAAACGGGAAACTGCCAACTTAAAAAAAGAAATAAACAGACAGGAAGAAAAATAAAAGAATATGGCGAATAAAATAAAATTAATATGGACGGAAGAAAATAAGATAAACTTAAGTGGGAACAAATAAAAAGATGGTTAAGAAAGCTGTTCGTTTAAGTACTTAATTCAATGGAGATCATTACGATTATTTGATAACGACATTTATGTTTCTTTAACAAAATGGTGGCTATTTCATTTAGGCAGGACGCCATTTCGCTTTGCCGTTAACAAATGTCAAAGTCCATTAGACATAATTTCAATTTTGCCCAAATTACACTTCTGTTCTTAATGTCGCCATATTTTCTGCTTTATTTTATTTTTATTTTATTTGTAACGTCGTCGTAATTCGGCCAACTGCTTGTTTTTTTCAACAATATTTCTTTTTTAGTTTCTTTCTTGTCTTTATTGTATCCAGTTAACTCTTAAAATTGTTCTTACATTATTTCTTTCTTTTTTTTGTTTCTTTCTTTCTTTGTTTCTTTTTTTTTTTTGTTTCTTTCTTTCTTTAACCATTTTCCGTTCTTATTTAAATGATTTATTTTTATTTTTAACATTTTCTCTTTTGTCCATCAGTATGGAAACCTAATGCGGGAAAAAAATCTGCCTCGTCAGTCATGTATCGAAAGATACATGATCGCATACGCGTGTATCACGCATGGCACATAACCGACTTAATTGAAGGCACGATGAAGTAATAGCGGCTCGGTTTGAGGAATGGGAGAGCCGAGTTCGAATTCCAGTCAAATCCATTACCTTCACTTGAGTACTAATACCCTTGAATCCTCTTATTCTCCCCCACCCCAAGCTATGGGTAAATAGCAGGACAGACCGGGTTCTATAGCTCTATAGTTCTATAGTTACATAGTTGGCGGGCTTGGGCAGGTGAATGGCGGAATGTGGTCTGGGGGAGTTAACAGAAACACAAACCTATTGAGAGCCACAAGAGATAAGAGAAGAGAGCCATGATCGCCTACGACCTTAAGGAACACAACACATAAAAGAAAGAAGTATGGCGCCCATGATAGTGTTGTCATACGTATTTTAGTTCACTGTTTTGCTGTTCCTTTTTTCGCTTTCAATATTTGAATAGCAATGATTTTTAACATGAGTGACTAAGCAAAAAATGTAACCATAATAAATATAAAACTAAAATGAAAATGTTTAAAAAAAAAGAGTCAGATATCACGGCATTTTCTCGTCCTCAAGGTATACGGCATTTAATTTTGAGATTATCTGTACTAAACATGATATGATGTCTTATTCATTCTCAGGCCAATCATTATTAATATGAACAAGTCTTCCCAGGGTTCCTGGGTTCGGTACCATATTTGTGCTATATATGAATATAATAAAAGTTGCATATTTTTTTAAAAATTTATATTGATTTTATAAACAAGTAATACAATATTACAATATAAATTTTAATAAGTTTTAACAAATCACCTAGCAAAGCCTTCTAACACGGACAAATACGAAATATCTGTCTCCAAAAATAGCCTTTTGGTATTGCTAGGTGTTTTTCTCATACAGTCACACGCTAAATCATCTTGTTGGTGTTTTCATACGTATTTTTAGTTCATTCCGTTGATTATATCGCATTTGTAGTTGTATAGCAATGACTTTTAACATGAGTAACTAATCGAAAAATGTAAACATAAAAAATATGAAACTATAATGAAAATATTGCTACGTGTGTTTTCTCACAGTCACACGCTAAGTCATCGTGATGGTGTTGTCATACGTATTTTCGTTCACTTTTTTTCCGTTGATTATATAGCATTTGTAGTTGTATAGCAATGACTTTTAACATGAGTGACTAATCGAAAAACGTAAACATAATGTATATAAAACTAAAATAAAAATGTTAGAAAAAAACGAGTCAGATATCCCTGATTCTCTCGTGGGATGGTTCTTTGTTTCCTGGAAACTGTCTGCGAACCAGCAGACAATGGCTTGCGTACCGAAAAAAAATCTGAATGCCAAATCGTGGAGAAAGCAAAGTAGGATCTATACACTATCTTTTCCAAGAATGCATAGCAAACTTCTGATAATAATACATAAAAATGTGATACTTTGGGGTGAATTTATCATTCGATATATAGTCGGACTTTTTTTTATCAATATAATCAATGAGAAATTGCTATGAGAAATCAATATAACTTAGGTCATTACTCTATTTAATAAAGAAAAAAAGAAAAAAAAATGTGGTTGGAATGTCGAACTTAACCCTTTATTTCGCTCACTGGGATAGACTGTTCTAGTTCCAGGTGCTATGTTTAATGGATGTCAAGGACACATGGCACAGTGGATAAAGTGGATAAAGGTGTTAGTTAGATCCAGTGACAGGACCCAAAGAGTGTGAGTTCAATACCCGATTAAGGCAGTGGAGAGCTTGGAGAGGGGATGTAACAGGATATAACTGATAACTGACATCCACTAAACATGGCACGTAGAACTAGAAAAGTCTACCCCAGTGAGCGAAATAAAAGGGTTCAGTTCGACATTCCAACCACCTGAAGAAGGCCGGAGCGCACAACGACCGAAACGTTGTAATATGACGACAAAGATGAGGACAATAGTCCGAATAATGAAAATAGTGTACATAATATCTCATCTCAGAAATATAGACAAAATTTCAAAATTAGTTAAATATTGAGGCTATTTGAAGTTTAGTTGATTTTATATGTCAACCACTGTTATTTATTTACTTTAGTTACAGAGCTATAAGCATAAACACACAGTGAGGACCTAACTCACTTCCAATGTTCAACCATACTCGCTATTACCTTCTACTAAACTCCTTTGACAAAATGTGTAAAGAAATCTATAAATAAAATGTAATTAGAATATAAATTATATTTTGCCCTATTAAAGTGGCATTTGCAGGCAATTTTTGGGACAGAGGTCGTACTTAATTGGATTAATAGAAAGATGAATTGATAATAATTTGCAAATAACTTTAAAATATTTTCAATTAAAAAAATTGTTTTTTAATTAATATAATTTGTTCGCCCCGTACTAATATTAATTAAATAAATACATGTCGTCAATTCTTCTTTAAGTAAAACCAAGGAAAACCGTTAAGTACATATATTTTAAAACTACTGAGAATAATGTCCATGTGCTTTTAATATTCCTATACTCGGAGATCTTTTAAAGAAAAAGAGTTCCGGAGTTTGATAAATGTCATGATATTACAAATGCTCCAGCAAAAGGAAGAATGAAGAAAGGACTAAACATAAATTGCAAGAAGACAGATTGCTTGGTTGTTACCAAAAGAATGAGCCCTAAATGCAAAGTACAAATCGAAGATACAATCATCAGCCAAGTACAAAGATTTCTAAGCCGACGAAAAATATCGAGTGCATTAACAACAAGGAACATGCCATGTCCCCCAACATCTGACAAGGCCATAGGATTATTGCCATCACCAGAATCTAAATAGAGGGAGAGTCCATACGTGTTCCAAGAAGACTCTGTTATCTCTCTTGTAGCCCACTCTGGCTGACTCCATTATATGGCCTTGTATCTCTCGTGATTTGAATCCCTTGGGCTGATACGTGTGGAGTGTCGTTGTGAGGGAGGGGCCAGTTATTGGCGCTGCAAAAAAAAAAAAGGTATGGTTGTTTTCATAAGGGACAAACTAAAATGCAAATTAAAAATCGCAGATAAAAAAAATCAGCCAAGTACAAAAATTTAAATACCTGGGAAGTGTTCTAAAAGAGGACGGAAAGTGCGTCACTGAAATCCAAAGACGCATTGGGATAGCCAAAGATGCCTTTCAAAAGCTAAGCTGAGTATTAAGAGAAAAAAAAAAAACAAAGAAAAGTGTACTTTAGCGTTATGAAATATCGGTCCTACTGTATGGCAGCAAATGCAGGGCAATCTCCTTGAAGATAGAGATTTTTCAAGCACCAGAAATGTAGTTCTACAGAAAGATACTGAGGATGCTATCTTACATATCTTCATAATATGCATCTCTGCCCTCTTTCTTCTCTTTTACAGCACTCACATTCAGTAACACACTACCTTGAGTAGCTCTTCGTTCTTGTATTAGATGAAAACTGAGTGTGCCGTGGTATTTTCATTTGCTTCTAGGTGTGTCGTTGCTTAAAATGTTTGAGAAACATTTCTATGAGTCATATTAAAGCCTACCGTAGTTAGCAAAATAATTCTGAAAAAAAATCCGCATGTGTTCGCTCCTCATTGGATGCTCACTTCATGTAGCTTTGCGTCAGTCTATGCTCAGCTTTGTAGATACGATAGATGGGTGCCTACCGTAGGGCGATAGTTAGTAAGCTCATCTCAGGAAAATTCACAAGTGTTCTAAGTCGAACGTCACTGAGCAGCTTTCCAATCTGGTTTCGTTTTAGTCTAACTTCATCTAATTTTTTTAAAGGAATCACGTGTATGCCTACCAAACATACTATTTATTATGCATATACCGTAGATATCTTGCTCAAGGAAGAAAATAAGTCTTTGGCAAAATGAGTCTTTGAGAATTAAGGTGCTAGAAAAATTATTTATATTATAGATTCGTCAATATTTTGGCATGGTGGAGTAATGGATAGCGGCTCGGATTGAGGAATCGGAGAGCCCAGTTCGAATTCCAGTCGAATCAATTACAATTCACGTAAGTGAATGTAACTGATTACCTGGGAAAAGATAAGAATCCTCTTCTTCTCTCCCTAGCGATGGGTAAATAGCAGGACGGGACTGGGTTCTATAGCCTTGGATGGCAACTGGTCTACCGTAGAAAATATTGGAAACCTACAGCGGGAAAAATCTGGCTTGTCAGTCAAATATCGTAAGATATATGACGGCCTAAGCGTGTATCACGCATGGCAAATAAATGACTGACTGAGTTCAATAAATTCGGATCCTGACACAGTTTCTTTGGGGAGGATTTTTTTTATCATTAGGTTGATTTAATTCGCTTATATATAATGGTAAGTTGATGACAAATTCTAGAAACCTTTACCATAAAAGTAAAAAATCCAATATCAGAAAAACCTCATTTAAATTAGGAATAA